TGTCTTTGAGATGAAGGAGATGAATGTGATCACGAAATCAGATCGATGTAGGAGAGAGAGGGAGAGGGGGATATATATATATATATATATATATATCTGGTGATGAATGTGCTATAGACGGAGGAAAAAGGGATAGAAATCTTATAAAGGAGCGTGGAGTGATCGATAGAATTGGAAGAGTCCATTAACGGCTAGGGATCTGATGAATCATTTGTGTGTAAGAGATCATTGTTCTCTTTGACTTCGACTTGCATCAGGTCAACACAAATGAATTATATAGATTCTGTTCTACCATCTCCACGTTCACCATCAGACTGTACCATCGCAACAACGAGATCGATCCTTAATGGCGGATTTTAGGTTACAACATTAGAAAAAGTGAGAGAAAGAGGGGATAACGACCTGTGAGAGAAATTAGACAATTAGTCTATTTTTCAGGGAATAACTTTTTATTCCAATAATGCCCTTGAGATTTTCTTAAAAGTCCTAAAATGTCATTAGAATTAATAATAATTACAATCATGTCATTACTGATCCAAGCCTTTCATTTTTTTGATCAATCACTCCACTTTTAGTTCTCGTGTTCTCATTAATATATAAGTTCTCAAATGATCATTCCTCTCTCTCTCTCTCTCTCTTTCTCTCTCTCTCTCTCTCTCTCTCTCTCCCTCTCTCTCTTTATATATATATATATATATATATATATATATATATATATATATATATATATATATATATCAAAGAAAAAGGAAAATTTTGATAAGAATGTAAGAAACTTTTTTGTGTATATATATATATATATATATATATATATATATATATATATATATATATATATATATATATATATATAAAACAAACAAAATGAATCATTTGATGATTCATGAGAAAAAATTCGTAAAAAAGCATTTTCACGATTCATTTTTAAGTAATTATGAAAAAAAAACTCACTTTTATGACAATTTTAGTGAATATAAACAAAATCGTTGTAAAAATTAATCATGGAGATGTTTTTTCGGGATTTTTTTAAATCATGTTATTTTTTATTCATCTAGTGATTCAATCGTTTTGTATGCCAAAAAAATATGAAATTTTTTTTTTTTTACCTTCCTACAAATTTTTTTTTTATCGAATCTATATCCTATATATGTTTTGTCTTATACATGAAATGATCTCGCAAGGCCATTCTACATGCATTAGTTGTATTTTGTTTTTGATAAAGTAATGTGATACCTCTATTAAAAGTTTATTAACAAAAGACAATAAATACAATTGCATGTTGGAGATTCCCCACCCATTAAAAAGAAAAGGGTCTCTGGGACAGAGCCCAGGGACCCTAACAACCTAAATAACAAAAGTATAAATTCGAGGGGAAAGAACATGCTCTAAACCACAAAACAAAGAACAACCAACCACAAGGACAAATAAAAAAAAACCTTGGCAACAAATTCAATGCAGGTGTAGAGTGGTGATATCTTCATTCTTCATATGAAGCCTCTAAAGATTTGTAGCATTAGAAACATTTGGGAGGGCTTTAGAGTAAGGCTTAGGAGTCTCGAGCGGACATCATTAGTGATAGTCTCACCATAGTTTCATAGAGTATTCTCTTATTCTTGAAAATCCTATCTTTCTCTCAATCAAAATATGGTCGACAATACCTGCAATAATTAAACGACGAATAACATACCAAATGGACTTACATATTGAGGCCTAGTGTTGTAAAACTCGCCGAGTTAGCAGCAATAAATCCGAGTACTCGTCGATCAGACCTATATTGAAGCGAGGAGTGTTGTAAAACTTGACCAACTCGATGATTAATATGTATAATGTACTTAATGATTTATTATTCAATACACATATGTGATTATATATATATATATATATATATATATATATATATATATATATATATATATATATATATATATATCTTAAATTTTTAGTAATTATTCATGAAATGAGACCATTGTGTGTTTCACTTTTTATGTATTTACATGCATCTAATTTTGTTATATATTTCAATCTACTTATGGTGTTAACTTATGATTTTGACATATATAATTTCCCTAAAAATATTTCTACATAGATTGCCGAATCCAAGTACTCAGTACTCGGTAGTTGGCCAAATAAGTACCGAGTAGCGAGTTCTACAACCATGTTGAGGCCTGCATGAGGAGGTCGATGACGTAGATCCACTTGTTGAGAACATTGTTGAGTTTTATCATTGATGTCATCGCATGCTATATCTGAGATGATTAAGAATACTCAGAGAATAGGTGGTTGAGGAAGTAGGAGAAAAGATAACATAAACTACAAGACAAGCTTTGTCTAGGCTCCCATATATGTATTCTATCATGAGTTTTAAGACGATTTTTAAAGGCAACCCATAAGATGAAGGCATGCCAGATGATATTTTGAGAGAACCAATGAATGTGGTGCCAGTCAACATCTGACTCAATAGTTGAAGGCTAAGCCAAACTTCATGAACAGTGTAGGAAATAATAAGACCTGCTTTGTTATGCTGAAATATTTTATCTGGGTAGAGATGGAGCTAGAGGACGGGGTGGTTGTTAATAGATTTAATGGACTCACACCAAAGATGAGGACATACCTGAGATAAGGCGTTTAAGGAAGACATACACATACAAGAACAGGGCCGACCTTACCTTTAAGTTAACTAAGCCCTTGCTTAGGGCCCCCAATTCTAAAGGGCCCCGGTTAACCTAATTCAGCAAATGTTGATTTATCGATTCTTCCTTCTTTATTAGCGCACGCCACAAAAATGAGTGAGTGTTCTTCCTTCTCATTATTCGCGATTCATGGCAGAAACTAATCTCGTTTAAATATTGATCGATTCTTGATGAGTCATTCTGGAAGCTGTTCTTCTTCCTCTGATTCTCCATTGTTGATTGTTTGTTCAAAAATCAAAAGTAGGCTGTCAAGATAGAAATGAAAGTCTGAAACGGTATGGTTTTCTACTTTTTCTCCATTGTTGATGCTTTTGGTGCAACTGCTTCTCTTGGAGGTGAGTGCTATTTTTACTCATTTTGTTGTTCTTCTTTCTCATTCAAGCGGATAAATGTTGAAATGAAGTAATTTCAGAAGGTTAATCTAGGTTTGCCTTTGATTAAGAATTAAATTTGTTAAGATAAGGTTCATATTAAAGCCTTGTTGATTACTTACTAGGTGTTGTGTTAGCCAAACTACTAAATGACACTAATAAGTTTCTAATTCAGCATGAGAACTTTGATTTTTAAGTAAATAGCACAAACTTGATTATTAACAACTATGTAGCGGAAGATTAGATTTTGATGATCGACCTCCATGTTATATTTTTATCGTTATTATTGATCCAATCACACCTGATATGCATATCTTACTGTGTTGCTACAAGTTTGTAGTTGATGTTTCATAATTATTGAAAAATAGAAGCTAAAAATGATGCCTTAAAAGCCTTGTCTCATATTATTGATCTAGACTTTGGAACTAACATTATCTCATCTGGATTTGTAAAGGACTTACATGTTGATGATGCTTCAGAAGAGGTGTTTTAGAACATAATATAATGAGTTCCATAGAGACTATACATAAAGATTTTTAACCTCAGTCAACATTCAATTTTATATCTCATGTTTCATTTCGGTTGGAGCTCACAACACCAGCATGTTCAGTCAAGAATATGGTAATTGAATCACAAATATCATTCTTTTATGAAAACATAATGTATTTTAAAATGTGAAATGTTATGTTTTTGTTGACATGTAATGAAGTGAGATTGAAAACATTCTTAAGAACAAAGTTTGAATCTTTTATTACATAGATACGTTAATTGTATCTAATCTTCTAATTAAAAGTTAACTAACTTGAAATACATATTTAAAAAATGAACATAAGTTAGTGTACATAATTGTTTAATTAGGTGTTAATAGATTGGAAGATGCTAAATTTTAGTTTAAGATAATAATGTATACACTAAATATATTGATTTTGTTTAGGTCCTTGATAAAGAGTCAAGAAGATTACAAAGTTACGAGTACTACAACTTTTACTGTAATACAAGGTGAGTACAAAGGGCTCCAAAATTTTGGTTCGCTTAGAGTCCCCAAACTGGTTGAGCCGATTCCTGTACAAGAAAAATGAAATAATATTACTAATTTGTAATATATATATATATATATATATATATATATATATATATATATATATATATATATATATATATATATATATATATATATATATATATATATATATATATATATATGAGTCGACAAATTATCAAAACAAAATCATAAGTTTTTGAAAACCAAAAAACACATGTTACATTTTTTATTATAACAAAGGACAGTTTAATTTCAAGAAACATATATAAGATATATACGATAATAGAATCTCTAAAGTTAAATTAAACTTTGATTTACTAAAAATAAATTAATTTTAGCATAATTTGTAAAGGAAAAGTATCCACATGCATAGGAACAAATTTGATGCATTGTTGGGTAGTCTCCTCCTTCATATCATGGCCCCCATATTCCCTTTCCTTTTTGGCTTTTCTTTTTCTTTATTCTACCAATAAGACTACATCGCCTTTTTTATTATAAATAAAATTTTAAATATAATGTAAAAACCCATGATTTTTCTATTTATATGTAGCAATAACTCGTATTATGTTCTTGTAGGTATCAATGTCTAAATATCATAAATATACCTCTTTGGTCACAGAAGCACCGCAAGTCAACATGGAGAATGCATCATTATCCACCACCACTTCCTCCACCTCTACCACCATCACCACCACCACTTCCTCCACCTCTACCACCACCACCACCGGTTGTTCCTCTGTGTCGTCTACCTCCACCTCCTCTGCATCAACCACAGAGATCATGAAATGCGGTGGAAAGGAAGTGAAACCTGAAAAGGGGTTAAAAAGAGCTCAAAAGGGAAACAATGGCAACGAACAAAAGAAACAGAATAAAAATGGTGATGGTGGTGAACATCCGATGTATCGTGGTGTACGTATGAGGAGTTGGGGAAAATGGGTGTCTGAAATCCGTGAGCCGCGAAAGAAATCAAGAATATGGCTTGGAACCTTCCCAACAGCTGAGATGGCAGCTCGGGCTCATGATGTAGCGGCTATAGCCATAAAAGGTCGTTCGGCTTACCTTAACTTTCCCGAATTATCCCACCTACTTCCACAACCAGCCACCACATCACCAAAGGACATCCGGGAAGCTGCCACCAAGGCTGCCGCCACATGTGGTGGAGATGAAGCTGAGCCACCATGTCAACCCATGCTTTCTCATTCTCACTCGTCCACAACTTTATCATCATCATCATCATGCAACATTCAAGATTCAGTCACATCGACATCAAATCAAGAAGATGACACATTTTTCGACTTGCCTGATCTTGCTCTTGAAAACGCTGATCGAAGTGATGCTTTCTATTTCTACCCTTCATCTTGGCAATTAGAGGCTGGAGCAGATACAGGGTTTCGGCTTGAAAGTGAAGAGCCGTTTCTTTGGCACATTTACCAGTGAAGAGATATGGTTATTTAAAAATTATACATTAATTTCAAAGTTACCATATTTATTAATCACATCCCTGTAAATTCAGCCAACATAGCAAAAGCCAAAAATTTAGGATTGATTTATTGTAGGACACATCACCTATATTTTTATATTTGTAGATCTTTTACAAAATAAAGGATAATTATTTAGAGGAAAAATATTAATTTAATGTTGTGTTTTGTAATACCATACTATTTTTCGTATGGATTACAAGAAATATATTTCTAGTTTTCTTTCCAAATCTCCCATGAACTAATAACGGTTTGGATATGGAAACTATTTATGGTAAAATTCTAAGTTTGGCCATTATATGTTGTTATTAAATAAAATACAAAAATCAATCTCTGATATATTAATTAGAATCTATGGATCTCATTCCTATATGTTTCTTTATCATCATTTTCATTCTTAAAAACAAGAATTTGCCATGGTTTCTTCTTATACCAAGTAGCTTAATTAAAATCTCAGCCATTATACATCAATTTTCTGGATTTATCATGTGTTGGGTAACTTGGGTTTAACCTTTTTTTTAGCATATTGACAATTTTTTTTTAAATATATATGTATAATATGAGGGTGGTAACAGAGTTTTTATATATTGTTTTTGTTAATATGTTATTTTAACATCTTACATAATCAAATTATTTTTTAACATAATATTCAAATAATAAAACTACAATTTCTTATAAGACAAACAATGTAAATAATTGTACATCTAAAAATAAAAAAAGAATATTAGTTTCAAACAGGTGTAACATAAATTAATAATTTGATTAAGACATTTCCTATTTGTCACACATGACGACACATGTGAAGAGTGTCCAAGAAGGAGACATCATCTCGTTTGCTAAATCAAATATATATCATCATCGGCAGCTTGAATCCCAATCATTCAAAGTAATGTCATTTTAGCATAATATATAAGTACAAACTTTTCTCTCCACACACTTGGTTAATGGTTGGTAGATAATGTAAATAGTTATCTTCGAATATCTAATATCTTCTTATTAAACATAATATATTTATTAAACATTTTATATATATATATATATATATATATATATATATATATATATATATATATATATATATATATATATATATATATGCCGAATAGAAAAGCTATACATGTATGAGAATATACTATATATTACATACAACCATAATATGCGAAACGAGATATGTGATGATAAGTACAAAGTTGAGACATGTAGGATCATATTGGAGTTGGGATCCAAAGGAAACTTAAGCCTTTATTATTTGGATCGTGTTCACAATTTATTTGTGTAATCGAAAAAATTAAAATAAACAAAGTGGATGTTGATTTTGATATCTTTGGTGCGTTGATGTTGAATCAAATTGGAGGATAAGTGCATTGCACCATATAAGGTCACACTTTATGATCTGATTAATCAAATACTTATCCAATATCAGTTAACGTCAGCATATACATCTTACCATCAACACCACGTATAAAGTTTATCAGCGTCAACGTGAAGATAATTTATTCTATGTAATCTTTTATATATTAGGTAATGATTCAGATAATTATAGAATATTTAGCAGATCAAATATCTTTGTTATGAAGATTGGTTCTTAGTACAAATAAGATACAATCCCTTCAATCAAGAGATTTACTTGTATAAACTAGTATATATTCAACATTATGGTGAAACCCGAATGTGTATCTTGAACGACTTGGTGTCGTTAATCGTCTTTGTGACAAATCCGTTTTCTTAGTGAAAACAAACTCTTTATTGGTGAAAGACAATTTGGAAAATAGACAATTTGGAGAATATGTTGTGGTCTTTACTTTCTATTCTTTATTTATTTAGATTAGTTTGATTTCGTTCTTTATAGTTAAGTGTATCCGATCGATAAAAACCTTTAATTGGTATCGGAATAAGTTTTTGATACACTCCAGTAATCATATCGAATTCCAACAATCTTAAATCCTTTGGTCTCAACAAGATTCCTCCATTTGATTAGCACAACTTTTCCATGTGGAAAACTAAGGCCATGGTTGTTCTTGAAACCATGGACTATGAGATGCGCCACATTGTTGAAAAAGGCTCTCACGTTCCAATGTATCAAGCTATGGTTAATAATGTTCATGTTGTTCCCTTGAAGCAAAATCCAGAGATGCATTATGACGATGATGACAAGAAGCTGCTTATTCTTGATGTGAAAGACAAGGATGCGATATGAAACTCTCTTCCCTATCTGTAGTTTCAATAAAATAGAGAATGAATAACAAGATCAAAGTGAATTATGAGTGATGAACACAAGATGTAAATATAATCTGTTTGGCTCAAATTAGCTTTTAAATCATTACAGAGAGTTTAGACAAGAATACATGAATGAGCAAAAGCGAAGTTCTTATCTACTCTAGTACACTTCCCTATTTATAGGAAAGATGAAAGCAAACAAAAAATACAAGGGACTGTTACACTAAGCTTCGAAACAAATATGCCCTTGTAATAAAGTTACAAGTCTCGACACGTCACAACTAAATTCAACTTCTACACTCTCCCCCTTTGTAAGCAATGAAGATTCAGTTCATTAAAGCTTTTGTAGCTTGATGAATTATCCTTCGGATCTCAGCATACCAGTTGACAATCTTACGAATCTCTTCTTTCTCGTTATCGTTGTTTTTGTCACAACTGTTCATCCGGACTAAGAGATTAGTGTAATGAGATGATGTATATCTTTCAACATCACACACTTGAAACATGAATTTTGAATTATCGCCCTTCTTGTTTTTGCCCACAAAAGCAATTCCTAAAGGTTTCAAGGTAATCTCTCTATCTTCAAGCTTGTTTATATTTGCCTTTGTCATCAGCATGGTTTGAGGAATTTCGACTTCTTTTCCCAATACTTTAGCCAATTCAACATCTGTTAAGGCTAACGGCCCAAAATAGCCTTCGATGAAAACCTTTAAGTGACCAAAGCCATTCAATAAATCTTCTTTGTTTGTCACTTGAAGTTTCGAAATATCTACACTCTTCATAATCAATGCCACAACCAAAAGATCATGAAAATTCATCAACGGGAAATGTGCAACTGAGAAGTCAAATGTAACCTTATTTGTTCGGACAACATGAAGCCTATAGTTCTGTAACATGCCTTCTAACAAAATGTCTTTTGTAATGAAAAGAACTATTGTTATCTTGACTAACGAATATACCTCATCTTCCTTCTTTCCCAACACAACATGAAAATGAAACTTCATGCGCCTGTACTCAAACTTATTCGTATACTTATTAGCAATTTTGAATTGTTCTTCCAAAAACATCATTTTATTCAAAGGAAAATCCAATTGATTCATTGGTGAGTTCACTATATCAAAACTTCTTCTGGGCACTTTCTCAAAATCATGCATCTCCCCAGATACAGTCAAGGCTTCAATGTATTCATAATGATAAATGTAACATCCCAAAAATACGAGCCAAAAATTTCATTTTTAAATACACATACTTAGCAAACCATTAGAAATAAAACATTCACCGATCATATCATTTCATAAAAGATGTGCGTGTTTGGAAATCAGTTTATAAAAACATAACAAAGTCAGAGTACAAATCCCCAGGAAGATCTCATAGTGCGGAATACAAAGTGTGTGGGTGATGTGTTGCTACCGCACCGGCTCCTTCTCATTCGAAGAAGAGGTACCTGAAACAAAAACTGAAAACTGTAAGCACGAAGCTTAGTGAGTTCCCCCATCATACTACATACCATACAATCACATATCATACATATTGCCATGCATTTCTGGGGTACCCGACCTACCAGGTACGGCCATTCTGGGGTGCCGACCTACCCGTGTCAAGCCATTCTGGGGTGCTGACTACCCATGTCAAGCCATTTTGGGGTGCTGACTACCATTCGGTCCTAATGACCGAACCTCGGGGACTATTTCACCCCTACTACTGCTACTATCACATATTATAATGTAACAGATTATCATACCTATCTGGGGTGTCTGAACTACCCTTCGGTCCTAACAACCGAACTCGGGGACTGCTCTCCTCCTACTACCTCTAACTCATATAACAAATCATGCTGGCATATAAACATAACATCACATACTGTCAGACGTATCTGGGGTGTCTGACTACCCTCCGGTCCTAACAACCGAACTCTACTACTATCACATATAACATATCATGCTAGCATATAACGTATTAGGTAGTAGCAAACCTAGATGATATCACAGAGACAATCATCTATCATACGTCTCCTACTGGTGAGTCGGCATTGTGGCCTTAGACCCACCGTTGCTGGAAGGTAACTCACCTCGAAAGTAGCTGTTGAAGTCTGCTTGCTGAGCGTCTGACTGCTGGATCGCAAATCCTCCGACTATAAACCATAAACATAGGTTAGACACCAATAAATACCCTTAAGTCAAAAGACTAACCCTCCCTTGGTCCAAGGTCAACTCCTTGGTCAAAGTCAATGTCCATTTGACTGGACTTGCCGAGTCATGGCATGGACTCGCCGAGTCCTTTTCCTACTAACCCGGTCCTACTCGACCAGTCCTTCTTCCCACTCACTGAATCACCCTTAACTCATGACTTGGGACGATTGAACCGACTCGTGACCCTACTCGCTGAGTTTGAAGAACAACTCGCCGAGTTCCAAGAAATCTACATAGGACTCGCCGAGTCTAAGGCCATCTTCATGGAACTCACCGAGTTCCTCCTTGGGGCTCGCCGAGTCCCTATGACCCATTTCCCATATAGGCCAAATCTGAGATATGCAACGCTTCAAAACCATAGATCCATGTTCCTTGAGCATGCTTATCACGTAAAGTTGCAAACTTTACATGCATGCGTGGCCCCATAAGATCATAAGGCCAAAACCAAACTCTTAATGAGGTCATACACCCAATGGGGACCTCATTCACTTCAAGCACAGAACTTTATGCTACTAATTCATCCAATAAGCCCAGATCTGAAGTCCTTTGGGTC